AGCCAGAATGTGTGAGATAGAATAACAGAAAACATGCCAGATAGAATATGTCAGATTGCATGTCAGATGGAATGCCAACATTGAGATTAGGGTCGGCTTCAAGTTATCCTCGCACACTGCAGCTTCCAACCTACATGCGGGATCTGCAAATATAACTTGCGCACCATACACTTTCTGACATATATTTTGCCCATGAACTTCACACTTCGAGTTGAAAGCAGATAGATTGTGAGGTTGAGTGGATATATGTGACATGCAGAGGTTGAGGATCATAGCCGCTGGTCGTGAGTTGTGAGATGATCTCTGCCAAACTTTACGTATGTATAAAATGTCATGGTGGGGATCACTCGAAGTAGAGTAATTATTTTTTTTTGGAAGTCTACTCGGGCGGCTGTTGCCTCATGGCGTCCACAGTTTCAATGAAGCGTCCAAGTTTTGACCACCGCGACTGCCGCGCCTATTTGTTCATTCTGGGTCCAAGTTCAAGCTGAAAGACGCCGCTGTCCCGGTGCATCAGACATTAGCGTGAGGACCCGCCATCACGTTTATGTTTTTTCAGTTCGCAGATCTTCAGTGGAGTGGGCGCCACACTTTCGTGTTGCATCCACACTAGGCACGGCAGATGCCTGCGCCTAAATGAAAGCAGACGCCTAATCTCACAAAGCTGTCCTTCTGTTTCCTTGTCTTCAATCGATCCTCATTTGGCCTGGAACAGGCAAAGGACGGACATTTTGCACGATTATATATATATAAGAATATATAAGATCGATATAGATCAATTATATAACACTATATAAGTATAACTAATGTATATAGACTCTTGATTAATAAACCACCCATATGAAGAGGTTTTTCAATTTCAATTGGGCAGGACACTAATGCGACATTGGTGAACGTAAGAAACCTTGAGTCGTCCTCATGCAAAAACCCTGCCGAAGAACAAACCATGTTAAAATTGTTGTGTCGAAGTCGGCACCTCATCTATGAAGTTCGTAAAGGGCAAACCGCCACTCCGAGGCACGCACTTGGTAACCTGCAGGTTCAGCTGTGAATGATACACGGCGGGCAAAGTTGGTAGGCACATGCACTCATTTAGGCACTTGCCCTCCTCCGAAGTGAGTTCAATGACTGTGTCAAGCACTCAAAATTACAAGCAAGATACTGTAAACCCGAGAGTGTGTGCGTGACACTGCCATTTGATTTGTCAGCAAATGGCCTGAGTCGACATGTTTAAAACCTATGGCTTAAACCACACCAACGGTCCAAAACTCAGCCAACATCAGCCAACCAGCAAAGGGCGCAGGCCAAATTGTTGTGCAACCTTTTTGCATGGGTTTCCTGTCCATCACACTCTTTGGCAGTGGGGCAATTCCAGACGCAGAGTGATCAAACTAGTCCATACCATCCGTACTTTTGCAGATTTGGAGGTTTTTTGCGACGGCGGCCACGACCACCAACTGTGGACGTTTACAACTGGCTGAAACCATTACAGGTCGACATCCCAGGTGGAGGATTCTGTTCATTTTGGTTAACCCCCCCGAGAAGGATTTGCACAAGAAGTGAAGGTTCCGGGGTAGTTGCCATGACATTTCTTACAGGGCCTGTGACATGTTGTGCTTGACCAGACTGAGGCCTTGATCTCCAAAATGCGTGCCTTCAAGCCTTAGGACAGAGGCGGTAGGCACAGCATGGGTTTCTTAGGCGGTTCCGAAGTTTTGAGTGTAGATTGGCTTTGGTGTCTGCGTTAGAGAAGAAGCGGAAACTGATTTTGAGACAACTTTCTGAGACCAGATTTGCGATTTACCCATGGCATTTGTGCCGTGCCATTACACATGTTTTGGTTCTGGGACAGCGTGATGCACTTGTCACTGTTGACGCTTGCTCAGGACAAGGCCACACTTTGTGAGCACCCCCCAGTGGTCTCAACGCGGTTCGCCGGTTCCCATGTGGAAATGACACAACGCGAGTCGGCCGTGGCAAAAAATTGCCACGTTTTTTCCGCAGGACACTCGAAGGCCCGCGCGAGATCTCGGTAAAACAAAGAAGCACATCGCGAGTGCGAGGATCACGGAGAGTTTGGTACTGTAGGGGCACAGGGCACCAACGAATATGTTCCAAGTCTAATTCGATGGAGTTCTTCCGGGTGTCAGCATAGAGTGCCAAACTGGCATTGACAAGGAGAAACCAAACACGAAAAGGAGAGGAAGGATTGAACAAACCACAGAAACCACTAAGTCGACCAAAGTTGAAGGCGGTCAAGGTGCTAGCGTGCTTGAAAGGGTGTACCTTGATTCCCTTTAAGACTGTCAATCGTTTTAAACGGGAGCTGAATTGGCAGGCGCACTTGTGTAGATTCCTATTGACCTGCCATTCCGGGAGGTCAGGAAACCGACTAGCAAAATCGAGCAACATCACCATCCAAGTGACTTTTGGCCCCAACGGATCAGAGCTGAAAACAACTTTGCATGCATGGGAACGTTTTCTTCGGACTTGGTGATGGAATGCCTCCAGCTGTTCAGGGCTGCGTTTTGGCTGCAGAACCGCAAGGGCTACAAGCGAATTGGTGTTGAGTTCACACTTCCCAGACCAGTGTGGCCGCACGCGCTGGTTGTATTTATTTGACAACCACGCTCGTGTGCAAATTGTGCGCGCTGAAAGGTCCAGATTCGTGCCACCCACCAGTGTAAATGTTTTGACTTGACAGCATCGTGGTGCAGCAATTGGACGCAATCGGCCGCTATCTTGGCTCAAGCTTTCTGTCGGACGGCGTGATTTCACGTAGGTTTGGCTCAGAACAAGGTAGGCACCATCAAAGATCCACATGCACACGCAGCGGCCGTACCATACCACTTTGCTTGCCACTTGCGTGCAGCACAGTGCACATCTTTAGGCGACATTACATGACACTTCCACACCTTGAAGGCAGAGGGTCGATTCGCGAGAGCCACCGCCATGGGCCAAAGAGGGTGCAAATGAAAAATGCCGCAGGGGGAACAGAACCTGAAGTCCCTGGGCCAAAATTGGCGGGTTCAGTCTCGCTTAAGGGGAGGTTAGATTGGTCGGGGCAGATGCTTGACAAACGTAGGCAGAAATTTTGAAATAGACAACCATGGGCTGACAAAAGTTGTTGGTGGTGTTGGAGCATTGATTGTGCTCAACGAAAATTGCCAGAAAGAGAAGGGAACGGAATGAGCTGAGTGGTATGCCTGGAGAACGAAGAAAATGCGCAACACTTGAGCATGTAAACGGACGATGCTGACACCCTCCCGAAACTTCCCGAAACCATCCGCCGAGGCCGCCAGATTTGGGCGATGCTGCTTGGCAATAATAACGCGGCTTGCCCTGAAGTTCGGCATTCCCAGCCATGAATGATTCGTGCCACTTCATCGGATTTTTGTCTTTCCGTGCTGCTTCTTGGCACGTTTGCAGCTAGAAGCAGTGGGCTGCGGACGCCAGATCTTCGAGGTAGCCTTTCAAGCTCCAAGTGCCCACCAAATCATGAAAGTCAACTGTATGGGAACCTTCGGTCCCCTCGTTTGGTGTTTCAGGATGTTTTGCCGCGGCTTCGAGATTTGGTCATGCGATGCCCGCAAGAGGCCCAGAATAAGTTGATTGCTGGCGCTGACATCGACTGTTTGTTGTCTGTGAAATAGGTTTGATGCACCTGACCCTGTGTTGATCATTCCGAGCTTGGTATTCCTGAGGTGCACGGTGCTGGAAGGCATTCGATGGAGTGTGGTTTGCAAGGTCGGGCCTGTCCCTGAACTTCGTATTGGTGCATTTACAGTGTGGACAAACATCAAACATGAATATACTATACTTAATTCGGGCACTTCGAGAGTGGCAGTACTTTATTCCCATGGGAACTGACCGACATCATGTCTTTCATGCGGTCAATCCGTCAGCAGTGAGGGCTAAACAGACCCAAGCAGACCGAAACGAAACTTGGCAAGCTACTCCAACTTGTTCTGCCCCAATGGGGGAAGAAGGTGCAAGGACTTGCGAGGATCAAACTCACACCCGCTTGCACCTGGACAAAGCCAAGTGGCAAACCGTGGTTGATCATGGCATCGCCATTATGGCTCAAAACTGGGCCCATCCTGGAATGTGTCAATCAAGGGGCCTGGAACACAAAACGCAGCGGCCCAAGGTGACATCGGGAACATCACGTCGCAAAGTACCAAAAATACAATCGGACAATGAACGCTAATTCGACCCCACATGAATGCAGATGAAACATGATGGAGGCTGGCCTGTGCCTCACTCTTTTGTGTGTGCTGTTGAGGCCTGTTGGGGGCGGCTGTGTGCTGCCACTGATGAAGGGCAGCCCTGTGGGATTTCAACCAAAGGCCATTGCAGCGGGCCCTCAGGAAAAACTAGTGATCGTGGACCAAAGAGGTGTGCTCCTCTTTGCTGACATGAAAGATTTTACGGTGCAACAGGATTTCCAGCTTTCTCGTGAGATGGACGAGTCCAATATCCAAGGGCTGGCGATGACCAACCGCGATAGCACGTACCTCTACGCTGCGGCGAACCATGACTCTGAACTAGTGGAGTATGAATGGCACAGCTCCCACAAGGTATTTCGGAGGTTCAAACTATTGGGCGTGCCTAGCGTTGGCCAAGGTTTGCAAAGCCTTACCTTTGTCCCAACGCCTGCCAGTTCTCAAGAGGGCTACTTTTATGCGAGTGCGGGGATTTCAGGTGACATCTACATCTACGAGGTCCCACTGCTCAGTGAGGGGCTCACATCAGCCAGGTCCGTAAAGGTTTGGTCGCCAGATTCAGCTCCAAGACATCAGGATCACCATGTCACAGGCCTAGAATATGCTGATGGCTACTTGTTTGTATGTTACGATATGGGTTCCTCGGCCTACTTGTTGATCTTCGAGATCCTCCCTTCAGGGCTCCCTGGCCCCTTGCAGGAGCGCCATCAGGCGACAGTTGGCCAACGGCCATTAGAAGTCAGTTTTGGCAAATCAAAACGCAGTGCGCACAAAGATACACATATATAATATATATATATATATACACACACACGTGTATGTATGTATATATATACTTGCCATCACTTAGTGGTATTCTAGTATTTTTTCATTTCTTGGCCATCACACGAGAATTCCTTTCTTAGAGAAAGTATGAAAACGAGAAAATAAAATAACATAAACATATAAAGAAGGCATCATGTTTAGCTGAACTGCATGCCCCCTCAAACAGTCCACAGAACTAGGCACGCATATGAGTGTAGACATTAATAGGGTAAAAAAGTTCTTTTTCACTTTTGATGATATTTCTTTCAAAGAGATAAAGTGAGGCCCACGGCCACAACGTCTTGAATCCAGAAAATAGCATCAATCCTTGAAGGTCGCATTTCCCTTTTTTGAGACACGAGATTTTAAAATATTTTCTGCTTCCATACAAAACCACAATGAATGAAATCAAGGCAGGCGTGGCTCAGCCAAGAAAGGCAAGTTTCATTGACTTCAATTTAAAGTTTACAGCAATAAGATTGTGTCTTTGCCACATTAAATGCGCTGCGCTGCTTTGAATATTAATTAGTTTGCAAGAGCCACTACAGAGTACAGCATGTCCAAGAGCAGTCCTTCAAAACAATTTGTGTTTAGCAGGCTTCAGTGCAAAAAGCACGACTGAGATGGAATAGATTTGGGGTTGTCAAACGACCAAAAACAGGGTGTTTTCAGCAACCCATCTTCGCATTCTTTTTGTGCAACGCAAGATTTGGCAAGGCGCAGTCAAAATTGCTTTGTCCCAAACCTAAGCTGACAAAACTGAAGCATTGGGGCCGAAGCAGCCCTGCGTGGCCGATGCAGCCATCACTCGTCGTCGGCCAAGGGATCCCACACCTCTTCCTCGTCCTCATTCTCCACATTCTCAGCGTTTTCCTGTTCCTCCTCCTCCTCTTGCTCCTCCTCCTTGGCTTGCTGGGCTTTGGCTTTCGGCTTCTTTTTGTCTTTGGCTTTAGGCTTCGGCTTTGCTTTAGGTTTCCCCTTAGGCTTCGGCTTTGCTTTCGGATCTACATCCCTTTGCGGCTTTTGGTCATCACCTTGGCCGGTGGGATTGGAAACACTTCCAACCGCCTCAGCGTAAGCTGCAGAAAACAAAGGTGACTCAGGGTCTTTCATGTCCTTTTCCAGCAACGTGAGCAAACGTTCTTCGAGAAGGCGCTGGTGTTCAGGGTTGAAAGCTATGCCTACGTACCCCACACGGTTGCGCAAAGCTGCCCAAGCCATTCGTGCATCCAGCGGTGTCAGATCAATGATCATTTTCACAAAAAAGTCATGAATCAGCTCTTCACAGAGCTCGTACGGAGGACTGTGGTAGCACACCGGCTCTGAACCATTGCGGGATCTGCTGTTCTGCTTGTCTCCATCGTCCTTGTCGTGCGTTTTCCCACCCACCAGGATCTGGTGTTTTTTCCCCAGAAGTTCTTTTTTCTCTTTCCAAGGCAAGTGCCACTCAGAAGACCAAGGGGGCATGTGCACATTGGCAATCAAGTCGCCTGTGGTAGAACCTGCGAAGTGCTTTCTGTCACGGCTGGGAAGGGACAGTTTTTTGGATGTGAAGATGTGACATCCCTCCATTTGCTTCAAGGTGCAGGTTCCACGGACTCGCTTCTTTCTGGCTGCTAGAGAGGATTCTGAGTATCCAATCATCAGTGTGTCTGCGCAGAAGGTTGGCTTGTCCTCATCTTCCTGGTCTTCTTCTGCATCTTCTTCATCTTCTTCGTCGTTTTCTTTGCTTTTGGCCGTTCCTTCTTTCCAGGGCGACATCAATTTGTTTCGAAGACCTTTTTTGCCGGCGTCAAAGACCACAGCCACGTCCCCTGCCATCAGGTTTGGGTGGCTGTGGCCTATGACCTCTTGCCGCGCTGTAAGAACACTTTTGACGAGCTTGGTGTACAAGGGCTCCCGGAATGTTGCCGTTCTCAAGTCTGGCCGCGTGGTGGGTTCGCCATATTTTTTCAGATCAAACAAAAACATGCCCAGGCCAGTTGGATCCCCGCGTAGCGACATGAAAGGAGTTTCTTTCAAGGCTTTTTCCAGGTCCACATTTGTGCGATGATCGCTTACAAAGCGGACATGCTGGGCAAGGACCTTGCGCATGTGTTGAAGCCACAAAGCTTTATCTGCCTCAGAAAGTGCAGTGGATGACGGGGCCGTTGATTCAGAGGCCGCAGCAGCCTCAGAGGCCGAAGCAGCCTCAGTTTCCTGAGGCTGTGGTTCTGTTTCAGCAGCAACTATTTCTGCTGGCCGTTCTTGTGTCGCTTCAGGCGTCGTCTCTTGGCGAACTTTTTGTTCGATGTTCTCCATTGTGGACTTCAGCGACGGGTAATTCAAAAAATCTTGGACTTCGCGTTTGCTTTTTATTGCGTCCTTGTACCTCAGGTCATACTGACTTCCATACACCAAGGCATCCAGGAAATCGCAAATTTCAGTGACGCTTGGCGGGCAGCCCAGTAACCAGGCCGTATCAGCCTGTGTGTCAGGGTATGGCGACAGGTGTTTTCGCACATTATCGAAGGAACCACAAAAGTTGCGGATCTTTTCTTTCCATTCCTTGCTGAGTTCCAAAGTATTCAACCACTGGTTCAGGCAATGATTCAAAGTCTTGCGCTTCATCTTGAGGACCTCGATGTAACTTTGCCTTGAGTCTTTCAGCTTGCTGATTACAAAAAACCCCGCGTCAATGAACGACATGCGGACACCGTCCACCATTCCTTCCAGGGACCAGGCAATCAACTCAGGCGTCCCTGCTCTGTCAATCAAAGCCTGCAAGGCGTAGACTGACTTCCATGCATTGGAGGACAACCAGTTTTGGTCGCACCACTCCAGCACTTCTTGACATCTGGGGAGGCTGAGAAGTCGTCGATGGATGGTCAAAGCTGAATCGATGAAACTCTCTGAGATTTTTCTTGGTTCGAGGCTAATTTGAGATGCTGGGTGTAAAGACCAGCCAGTTTTTTCGAACCCAAGTTGGCCTCAGTTTTTTTCTTCTGCTCATGAAAGCCTGCGATCTCATATATGCGTTGCCTCAAGCTCATCTGAACGGACAGCCCCTTCTCCACCATCTCCTCACGAATATTGGCCGCGCGCCAATACCGCTGTTCACCAATGGGACAGATTTCAAAAACAAAGGTGGCCGTGAGAATGCAATTCTTCAAGGCGCGCAAGACTCCAACCTTGGCTTTGGTTTCAATGGCTTCGGCGAGGGCGAACAGCAGGGCATGCACCGGCTCTGGAGGACTGAGGCGCTGAAATCCATTGTCCGGACGCTTGCCGATGCAAGCAGGTGTTTCCAGAGCAACCGTGACGGTAAAGGGGCACAACGACGGTGGCTCGTTCGAAGGAAACCAGTGCTGCTTGATTTGTTGCACCTGTGCACTGTTGATGGGAACCTTGTGGGTGGCCAAAAACAAGAAGTCTTGGTGGAAAAAATTTGCCGCGCACTTGTAGACGCCCACGTTTTTCAAGGCCGAAGCAGCCTGAGGCAGATCCAGTGATGCTTCTCTGCCGCCATCTTTGACGGACAAAGGCTCCGCTGTGAGGATGTCCTTGAACATCTCATGTGAGTAAATGACGGCTAAAGCATCATGCACCTTCATCAGGTGTTCCTTCGAAGGTCCAGGATCCATGTCCACGTCTGCGTCATCTGCCGCCGGAAGGGCAAGGTGCTCTTTTTTTTGCTTCTTTTTGGGCGGCGTGGGCAAAAAGTTGATTTGAGTTGACTTGAGCCGCTCAAATCTCACAGGTCACAAACATTTAGGAAAAAGAGGGGGACAGGGGCATGTCACGTTGTGATATCATCTTTAAATCTTCCGTAATTATCTATAAGAAGTATGGATGTCAACATTCACTTCAAATGCAATTCCTCGAAAAAAAACTTGCGCAGACTTCCTTTTTAAGTCTTCTGAACGACATCCTGCGGGGCCGCTCACAGCCATCCACGCGTGGTTGTGTGCAGCCACAGCAGAAACAAAAACAGCCCTCTCACATGGCCGAAGCAGCCATCTTAGCCACCATGCTGCGGACATGCCGGGTCCGTGCAACACTGGCGGCACATGTGGCTAGTGCATCCACATCCAGGTTGGTTGCGTTGGCAACTTGTGCACATGGGCAAGTCGATCACCTTGGGAGGGCGATTGCCAGCGGCCGCCCTGTGCTGCATGGCTCTCTGAGCTTTCTTTTGGGCCCATCCAGAGTGCGTGCTGCGATTGCTGCCCCATGGGTGTTGCGTGGGCGTTGACGACGCAGACCAGACGGCTTGCCTCACAACTGTTTGCATGTCACTCCTGAGTTGGTGGACCGCGGAGACGACGTCGGCGTGACTTGCAGGACGCTCCCTCAAAGAAACGCCCAGCTTTCTGGTTGGAGGCGGGCTGCCCACAGATGGGCTTGGCTCCCGTGAGCTTTTCGTCTCTCTTTTTTTCTTGTCTGCGCTTTGGGGATACCCAGTGGTTGCTTGCCTTTTTTTTAATGTCTTTGGCACTGCCCGCATGGGGCGCATCATCATCTGCAGAGGAATATTCATACTCAGAGTAGTACTCGTAGTCATCATCTTTTGCAGAGATGAAGACCCTCCTTTGCTTCATTTTCTCTGCTGCGCGGTCCTCCTCGTCATTGTCATCCAGCGGTTTCTCAATGTGATCAGGTCTTTCTGTCAAGATCAAGCCGGACGATGGTGGATTGGAGGAACCTGCCGCAGCCGCAGCAGCTGCAGTCTCAGCCACGGCACCCTGAGGCTGGTCAGGCACCGCCTCTTTTTCTGTGGCCGAAGCAGCCACAAACTCAGTGGCCGAAGCAGCCACAGACTCAGTGGCCGAAGCAGCCACAGAAGCCTCAGCGGCCGCAGCTGCTGGAATAGCTGCCATGTCGTCATCAAAATCAACATCGTGGACAGATTCGTCCTGGGCAGCAGC